CCCCCCCCCCCAACTTAAAAAAAAAAAAGAAAAAAAAAAAGAAAAGAACCCCTGTGACAGTGTGACCCCACATAAAATCAAGTTTCAGAGACTTGCAGCGACCCCACATATAACTCTCTTACCATTTGGTACTCTTCTTGTGTCTTGAGCAGCTCCCCTGCCTCTTGGATGCTTATCATTCTTGCGCACCGAATGTTAAACCTCTCGTCAAAAAGACGCTTCACGTCCGGCGTCTCCGCGGCAGCGGAAACCGATTCTTTGCTGCTAAATTTGGGATCTTGCAGAATGCTTCTCTCCTGGGTCATCATCATTAACCCAACAAAAGAAAGGGGAAAAAAATAATAATAAAATATATATATATACACATATATATATATATAGATAGATAGATAGATAGATAGATAGATAGATAGATAGATAGATAGACAGATAGATATTAAGAAAAAATTCACACCCACACGCGAAACAAGTTGAAGCAGGGTTAAAAAAAAAAAAAAAAAAAAAAAAAAAAAAAAAAAAAAGGAAAACCGGTTTTTTTATTTTTTTTTTTTTTTTTTTTTTTTTTTTTTTTTTTCTTCTCTTTTTTTTTTTTTTTTTGGGGGGGGGGGGGGGTGGGGGGGGTGGGGGGGGGTTTAAAAAAAAAAAGGGGCCCCCCCCCCCCCCCCCCCCCCAAAAAAAAAAAAAAAAAAAAAGCCTCGGATGCGTTACAACTTACAACTTACGAATTTGAAGTTCCCTCTTTGCCATTTTTGGCAACCAAACGGCAAGATCTAATCGTCTTCATTCTCGTCGTCGTCGCCGTCTTCATCCTCGCGCTCATCTTCTTCAGCCGACAACTCATCGCTGCTGCTGCACTCCTCCTCATCTCTACCTCTGTGTGCCCACACTGGTGCCGAACCTGGTCGGCGGTTGGGATCCCTTACCGTGGCAGTCGTCTTTTCCATTGGGGGAAGCTTGTGACCGAGCTGCTTATGGATCGGCGGTCGGCGCGAAATCAACTCGTCCCGGACATCCTGCTCGGCAGAGTTTGACAAAGAATTAAAAAACAAAACAAAAAAGAAACAAAAAAGAAACAAAAAAAGAAACAAAAAAGAAACAGTCGAAAACTGTCAATGATTTTCCCAGCAAAAAAAAAAAAAAA